GGGCCCTGCTCCCTCCGAAGACTAGGGAAGGATCCTTACTTACCATTTCCTACCTTCTGGTTGTTGTCAGTGATCCTTGGCATGCTTTGCCTCATAGCAGCATCAGCCCAGTCTCTTAGCTCCATCATTATATGCCCTTCTTCCCTGTGTCTGCATGCCTCTAAATCTCTATAAGGATACCAGTCATCAGACTTCAAGGTTACCCTAATTCCATATGTTTTTTTTAATTTTATTTTTTCCATATGTTTATCTTAACTTGATTATATCTGAAAAGGTCACGTTCACAGATACTAGAGGTTAGGATTTAAACACAGCTTTCTGAAGGACACAATTCAATGCTGTCTGCTAATATCCCATTGGCCAAAGGAACTGATAGGGTCAAGCCCAAAATGGAAAATTAAACTAAACCCATTGTGAGGGCTTGGTATAATTCACATGGCCAAATTCAACATCAATGGAGCAGAGAGGTATACTCTTCCCATAGAATTTAACAGGGTGAGTGACTTTTTTAATAATAAATGTGTATATGTACATAAAATATATGATGTAATATATATAGACATATGTGTGTGTATGTATATATATATATATATGAGAGAAAGTGAACAAATGGAGCTAAATTGGTGAGTCTAGGTGGTTACTTATTATTGCTTATTATGTCAAATATCAACAAGTCTGGACTTAGGTAAGGAGAAGTTATTTTTAAAGACTGTTGTAATACCAGAACTCACTAATCACAAAATCTGCAAATGTCTCAAATAGAAAAAAAAGGTTTTATTTAAATAAAATTAGGAAGAGGTGTGTGTGTATATGTTAGTCGCTCAGTCATGTCCAACTCTCTTTGACCCCATGGACTATAGCCCTCCAGGCTCCACTATCCATGGAATGCTCCAGGCAAGAACACTGGAGTGGGTAGCCATTTCCTTCTCCAGGGGATCTTCCTGACCCAGGGATCAAACTCAGGTCTCCTGCATTGCAGGCAGATTCTTTACCATCTAAGCCACCTGGGAAGGGAGAGGTAGGCAGGGCTAACAGTAACTTTGTGGGGGAGTATGGCAAGGGGATACAGCAAGCAGATGGTATAATCAGGGTGATGCAACAGGAGTATTTTTCCCTCAATGGTTGGTTTATTCTCTGAATGAATCATTAAGTAGAGGATGTCTGTATTTCAGGACTTGTCTGAGTTTGGAGATGAGTTAAAGTTCAGGGGCCTATGAAGAGAAGAGAAGTCTAACTAAAATTTGGTCAAACCAAATTATAGGTAAGTAATGGGTAATTGTCAATACTCTTGTAACTCTTCTGTAGGTTTAAATTATTTCAAAATAAGATTTTTTAAAAAGAGTTAGTACTTAGCTACAGTTTTGGAATGCATTTTTTAGTCTCCCAAAACATCATGATATTTTACTAGCTGTACTTTGCCTCTTTTCCCAGTAACTAGACTTTGAGTTAGTAACTAGACCAGTAACTAGACCCTGACATTACAGCCTAGTTGGTTGTAGATTTATTTGGTCCTAATTCTACCTTCACTGGAAAGAATAAAAACATCTTTAAAAAATACTACAATGTTGAAAGGGTCCAAAGTTTTCAGAGGAAAAAGAAAGTAGTTTGTAATTTAATCCCATCAAGATGATATTAATACATACCCTGGGAACTAACTAAACAAATTAAGATGCACAGGAATCCAATTAAAGAGCAGAATATTCTTGTATTTCAAGTTGTAAAAATGTATTTTTAAAATTTATGAGTCTTGAATGAGTTACTTAGAAATTGACTGTATTGAGATTCCTAGGTGATGATTATAGTTAATAACATTGAATTGTATATTTGAAAACTGCTAAGAGAAAAGGTCTTGTAAGTTTGTTCTTTCTTGTGATGAGAACTTTTAACTATGTGTGGTGATGAATGTTAACTAGACTTACTGTGCTGAGCATTTAGCAATATATATTGAATCAAGTTGTATACCTTAAACTCATAATGTTGTATCAATTATATCTTAATTTAAAAAAGACTTCTTAGGATGCAATAAGCTTCTCCTTAATGGGAGATATACCTCCTTTTTCAATAAAAACTATGTAGCTATGTATTAAATATAAAAATAAGCTCTATATCAACTAAATATAAGCATGTCTCTTTCTTAATTATAAAGAGATACTCAGGACTCACAGTTAGAATATAGGAAGAACTACAACAAATAAATAGGAAAAAGACAATCCACGTGAAAAAAAGGGGCAAGAGGACTGAACAACCAAAGGTTATCCAGATAACCAAAATATTCTTAAACAGTGCCCTGCTGCTAAGTCATTTCAGTCGTGTCCGACTCTATGTGACCCCACAGACATCAGCCCACCAGGCTCCCCCGTCCCTGGGATTCTCCAGGCAAGAACACTGGAGTGGGTTGCCATTTCCTTCTCCAATGTGTGAAAGTGAAAAGTGAAAGTGAAGCCACTCAGTCGTGTCCGACTCTTAGGGACCCCATGGACCGCAGCCTACCAGGCTCCTCCATCTATGGGATTTTCCAGGCAAGAGTACTGCAGTGGGGTGTCATTGCCTTCTCTGAAATAGTGCCTTACTACATCACTAATTAATACTCAGAGAAATGCAAATTAAGCCTACAATGAGATAGCAAAAATGGTTAAAATTTAAGAAAATTAGTAATGACAAGTATCAGTAATAATTAGAATAACTGGAAGTTATCCTGCTGATGAGAGTATAATTGGTACAAGTTCTTAGAAGGCAGTTTGGCAGCATCAGAAGAAGCTGGAGAGAGCAACCCTGTGACACCAAAGCCACTTCTAGGTATATGCCCCCTCCTTCAAATGTATACACTTATGTACAAAGTGACATGTATGACAAACTTCTGTGAACAGTGGAACAATAGAATGAGTAAATGAGTTTTTGTTGTATTCATGCTGAAAAAGAAAAAGCAGTCTGTGACAGTTAGGAGCTAGCCTGATACTCAGAGCTAGGCTGTGTTGTTCTCTTGTTGAACAAAAACAGGTTCATAGAACAACAGTATTAGACATGGCTACTCTGTGATGGTGATGGATTAAGAGAAAAGCAAGAAGATGCCACAAAGAGGCATAAAGGAACATTTTCCAATCCACAAACATGGCCAAGTATCTCTCTATCCTGGCTAATATGAATTACCAACTACAGTTTTAGCCTCCTCCCATTTTTTTCACCTTCTCCATGAGAATTATTAATATATCCAACAATAAAATTCTGAGTTACTCCTAATTTTATTTTAAAAAACATTTTTTTCTTCTGCTTGAGACATTTGCAGGTTTTGTGAAGAGTGAGTTCTGTTATTGCAATGGTCTTTTAAAGCAGCTTCTCCTTACCTAAGTCCATATTTGTTGATATTTGACATACTTCAAGTCCTACTTCAAACCACCCCCAAATCACCATTCACATGATTAAATACTAGAAGTCCTGAACTAAGTATCAATGAAAAGAGACTAGATTCTGAGGATTACCTACTGCATTTTTTTAACATTCTACACTATATATAATTGTTTTTGTTTTTCAGAAATGGAATAACGAGCATCAGACAGTGTCAGCGGATAAGTTCTAGTTCTTATATTGATAGGAGTAGCTGTATGGACTGGGCAAGTGATTCAATCATTTGGGGCTTAGTTTTTCATCTGTTTAAAAAAAGGGGAGGGACTTACACGGTGGTCCAGTGTCTCAGACTCAGTGCTCCCAACACAGGGGGGCCCAGGTTAGATCCCTGGTCAGGGAACTAGATTCCACATGCTGTAACTAAGAGTTCAAATCCTGTAACTAAGACCAAATAAATATTTTTAAAAAGGGGTTGGGGAGATGGACCTAATCTTTCTGAGGTGCATTCTTAAACATTCTATGATGACTATTAAACTCTGAACAAATACCTTGCACAATTTATATTGGGCCATTTTCAATATATGTAAGTAGTCTATTATTTAATTTCCTCTAAAATCTGAAGCCAAACATTTATCTTCACTTCGCTTATCTATTATATTATTTGGGAAGCAGATTTACATACTAATTATGAGCATGAATTGTGTCAGACTAAATTATCTTAATAAAACTTTATTATTATTGTTATCTCATATTTACTAGGTAGAGGGCCCTAGGGGAGTAACATAACCTCTCAATTTCATCTGTAAAAAAGAAATGTGTATCCTATAGAGTTGTTGATGCAAGGATTAAATGAGATAATGCATGTGAATTACTTAACACATACCAGTATATAGAAATACACCCCAATAAATACTAATTCCATCATAATCATGAGTAAAAACCAGTTGCTGGTTTTTGAGTATTTGAGCATTTGAGGATTCCGGGGAAAAGAATGGATTTATGCATATCATGAGGCAAGTTTAACAGCTGCCCCATCCAATGTACCTACTGGACCCCAGTTTCCTGAAGGATGATGTCTGTCTTCTTTTCTTTTCCTACTCATCACTTCCTCCAAGGCCCCGCCCCCACCCCGCTGGCTCAGGCTTCAGAAGACTCTGCGGGATCTTTCTGCCTTTCCCTTGGTCTCCAGGCACAGTGTGTGGGGTGCGCCCAGTACCTTAACACCTCGCTGTTCGCTGGTTGCTGCAGCGTCCCCAGCCAGCTCACAGATACGATGACTTCAGCCTTAAGCTCGCTTAACGAGTATCCTCATTGGCTTCTCAATTCCCAAGGGCCTTTTTTTTTTTTCCCCCTGAAAGGGAAATGAAAGGTGAGTTTGCTGTTGCTTTGGCAACAATTTCAACCTCTACCTAACTCTCCAGAATGAGAACATATCTATTAATACATTCGATAGACTGGGGACTGGGGAGTTGAGTTGCTCAATGTAATTTTTCTTCCAAGTTCAAAACAGCTCAGCCGGCTCGGTTAGCCTTTGGAGGCGCTGCGGTTAGAGGCTAACAAAGCCAAGGGCAGCTGTTGCCGGAACCTGTTGGCAGAGAAGTTTAAAGTGTACCCGCAACAAGTGGCGGCTGCTGCTGAGAGTGCGCTTGTGAGAAAGAATGGCGACTGCACGCAGAAAACTCCTGCAAAGCAGGCAAGTGGGAACTCTTCTCATTTTTCTGTGCTTATCTGTGGGGGGTGCAGCAACCATTCGCTATTCGGTGGCAGAGGAGATGGAGAGCGGTTCGTTTGTAGCTAATGTGGCTAAGGACCTGGGGCTGGAGGTAGGGAAGCTGGCTGCGCGTGGGGCGCGGCTTGTTTCCGAGGGCAATAAACTGCATTTCCGGCTCCACCGCAAGACGGGAGATCTGTTCGTGAAGGAAAAACTGGATCGGGAGTCACTCTGTGGCAAAGCTGACCCATGCGTTCTGCACTTTGAAGTAGTCCTGGTGGAGCCACTGCAGTCCTTTCGCGTGGAGGTCAGGGTATTTGATATCAATGACAATGCCCCAGTTTTCCTAAACAAGGAGCCTCTGTTAAGGATTCCGGAGAGCACCCCCCTGGGTTCACGCTTTCCTCTGCAGAGTGCCCAGGATCTGGACGTCGGCCTCAACGGTCTCCAAAACTACACCCTAAGCGCCAATGAGTATTTCCACCTGCACACCCGCTTCCGCAGCCACGGGCCCAAGTATGCGGAACTAGTGCTGGATAAACCCCTGGACAGAGAGGAGCAGCCGGAAGTCAACATGACAATTACAGCTGTGGACGGAGGGTCTCCACCCAAATCTGGCACCGCCCACATCCGGGTGGAGGTTCTGGACGTCAATGATCACGTGCCCCAATTCTCTCGACTGGTATACCGAGCTCAGGTACCGGAAAATAGCGCCAACGGTTCCCTGGTGGCTACGGTGACTGCCACCGACCTGGACGAGGGCTCCAACAAGGAGATAACTTACTCATTAGCTCAAAATCCAGAAGTAATCCTCCAGACATTTCAGATTAACTCTGAAACTGGAGAGGTTCGACTAAGAGGGCCCCTAGATTTTGAAGCGATTGAAACATACGACATTGACATTCAAGCTACCGATGGAGGAGGCCTCTCTGCCCACAGCAAAGTCCTGGTGGAAGTGGTGGATGTTAATGACAATCCTCCTGAAGTTACAGTCTCCTCTGTGTCCAGCCCTCTCCCTGAGGACTCTCCACTACAGACTGTCGTGGCCCTTTTCTCTATCAGAGACCGGGACATTCGAGTGGGAGGAAAGATCACCTGCTTCCTCAAAGAAGACCTTCCCTTTGCAGTCAAACCTACATTCCGGAACTCCTACTCACTGGTCACTGACAGGGGCTTGGATCGGGAGGAGGTCTCTGGCTATAACATCACCCTTGTTGCCATGGATACTGGACCACCCACTCTGTCCTCAGAGACTGTGATAGAGGTGCTAATATCAGACATTAATGACAACCCCCCAGTATTTCAGGAAGATTCCTACATCTTGACTGTTAGAGAAAACAACAGCCCTGCAGTTTTTATTGGCAAAGTCCTTGCTGAGGATCTAGATTTGGGTGAGAATGCCAAAGTAATGTATTCCCTGTTGCCTCCAAAAAGTGGAGATCTATCAGTCTTTGCTTACATCTCCATAAATTCAGACAATGGGAAACTCTATGCACTGAGAACAATGGATTATGAGGCCATTCAAGATTTTCAGTTTGTGGTAAAGGCAACTGATGGGGGCTTCCTGTCACTGAGTAGCCAGGTTACTGTCAGAGTGGTTGTCCTGGATGACAATGATAACCGTCCAATGATCTTGTACCCACTGCAAAATGGCACTTTGCCCTGCAATGACCTGGTGCCCAGGTCTGCAGAGGCGGGCTACCTGGTGACCAAGGTGGTGGCAGTGGATGGTGACTCGGGTCAGAATTCTTGGCTTTCATATCATCTATTTAAAGCCACTGACCTTGGGTTATTCTCTGTTCAGCAACAAAATGGGGAAATCCGTACATTGCGGCAGGTATCTGAGAGAGACCCCATGATGCAGAAACTGGTCATTCTTGTTCAGGATCATGGCCAACCAGCTCTTTCTACTACTGCCTCACTTAACATTCTCCTGGTGGATGGCTTTTCTGAGCCCTATCTGCAGTTTCGGGATACATTTAAGCATCCTACAAGGGTAAATCCATCCACTAAATATTTAGTCATTTCTCTGGCTGTGCTTTCCTTTCTCTTTCTCCTCTCTGTCACAGTGATCTTCATTATACATATCTGCCAGAAGATTAACCACAGAGAAAAGTTCACAATTCAAGAGCATTTCTATGATGACTGCAATTTCTCTAACCTGGTACAAGGAGGAGCCAGTGGACCCATATCGCAGCCTTGTCCCTACGAGATGTGCTCAGCCACTGGCACTAGCAATAGTGAGTTCCGGTTTCTTAAGCGCTTTATGCCCAACTTCCCTTTCCCCCATGGAACTGGAGAGGCAAAAACAGAGGCTGGCTCCAGATTACCACCAGATTCTGATAGGAACAGGTCTCGGGGGTCAGAAGGCCATGCCCAAGTATCTGATGACTATATGTAACCATTACCCATGTCTCCTGTGGAAGTTCACTAGTTCTGGCTGTGGAAACACTTAGTTCCATAGAGATACCATGTTATTTTGCCTTTAAGTTATTTTCTATTAGAAAGTTACACATGGTTAGGGGAAGAGAACTAGCTTCTAATTTTGATGTCAGAAAGCAATTAGGTTGAGAAGTAGAAATATAGTTTGTCATTATTCAGAAATTTCTAGATTTTTGTCCCTTGATGAGTAGAGATCATTTCTGAATCAATGTCTTGTACCACCATTCACAATCATGCAAATATCTGGTGAATGGTGGTCCTCAATAGATAACCAGATGGGAGGAAGGATAATGAAGAAAAAGGATTTGCCTTATTTGCAAATATAAAGGCAGATATAAGGCTAAAGAGATTCAGTTCAGGAATGTTTGCTAAAATTAAGTTAGATTTCTTAATGGTTGTTGAGGAGCCTTATCAAAGTCTCTTTATACCTATCTCATTGCTCATCAGAGAACGGTTATCTGAATGTGGAGAATGAAAAGTGGATGAGGAAAAAAACAGACTACAACAAGTAGATTTACAAAAGATATTAAAGGAAAAAGAATTCACTAATATCAACTAAGTGGCCTTAAAGAAAGATTTTCACCTATTATCAGAGTTGATCTTAAGCCATTTTCCCTTCTGAGCATGCTAATGTGATGACATACATGGAAACTAAGAAAGAGGTAGTTCCTAGCCTATCATTCATAAAATGGAGTAAGGAATCAAATTCAATTTCTTTTTGATCATCACTGTTCTGCATTTATAAGCTATTTTAGGTTCTCTTATTCTAAACTTAAAAAAAGAAGCAAAATATTAACATATTTCAAGGATACAATTAACATTACCAATTGTGCCTTAACTGTCTAGGTTTGCTTTAATGAGTCTTTAGTTATGTACCTTATTTTATATAACATGTAAATGCAGACCCACAAGGGGTATAAGCACAATATTTGTACCTAGGATTCCAATGGTAGAGCAGTACCTCTAGTTTGGGCAAAGAGCTTCAATTACCTATTTAACTTTGAAATGCATATATATATATATATATATATATATATATATATACACACACACACACACACACATTTCTACTGGAAGTTTTGAGTTACAACAAAAGTTTTTTAAAAGGATTTAAATTCCTTATGAGATAATTTTAGACTCATAAAACTGCAAGGATAGTATAGAGTTATCATATATTCTTCACCTGGCTTCCCTTAATGTTACCATCTTACATAACCATAGCACAGTCAACAAAATTAAGAAATTGATGTTGGTACAATTCTATTAACTAAATTACAAATGTTATTCAGATTTTACCCTACTGTCCTTTTTCAAGGATCCAATCTAGGATCTCACACATGAATTTAGTTTCTACCATCCACCATCGTCCCTTAACCTTTTGTCTTTCATGACCTTGAGACTTTTGAAGAGGACTGGTCAGTTATTCGTAAAATGTCTCTCAATTTCTTCCAGTTACATTGAAGTATAGCACTGGTTAAGGTATACAGCATATGATTACCACAATAAGCTTATTGTTAACAAATATGTCCCTCAACTTGACATTGTCTTTGTTTTCTCATAATTAGATTGTTCTGCATTACTGGGAAGAATATTACAGAAATGATACTGTGACCTTCTCAATCCATAATATCAGGGGGTACATGATGTCAAAATGTCTTATCTGGTAATGTTAATATTTTTTTTTTACTGTGGTAGAATATTAACCATTTTTAAGTACGTAATTCAGTAGTGTTAAAGTGATGTCACTCTTGAGCACTTGGTTAAGATAACATCTGTCACGTTTATTTACTGTAATGTTACTATTTTTCCTCTTATAATTAATATGGGGAGGGATACTTTGAAACTACAATGCAAATATAATGTTTCTGCTTTAACTTTTGCCCACTAATTTTAGTATCCATTACTGGCTGCTTCCTGTGGCAGTTAATAACTGTGGCAGTGAATGGTGAATTTCTGATTCCTTTTACACTAATTAACTGAAATTCTTTAAGGACTACTTGTCACTTCTCCTACATTTACATTTTACTCATTTCTTTATATATGGATTCATGGACATTTACTATATTATTTGGACTATAACCCAATGCTACCATTTTATGAGCAAACTCTTATGTGGGATGAAGAACAGATTTTTAAGCCTGGAATTATCCATATAGAGCACAATTTATTCAAAATGAGTATTTCTTTGTAATACTATGTTACATCATCTTAAAGCATGCATAAAAATCTTTTATTTATAATGTTTTAACTTTAAATGAAAATTACATTAATTTGACCTGAAATTTCCATTAGTTATAAAATAAATAGATATTAACTATGAAAATTTAAAATCAGACATATTTATGTATTTATAAGCTAAGTATAATAAAGATGTCATTTAAATAGATTTACAGGCTGAAATTAGACATATATATAAAATGGAATTGATCTCTGGCTTTATTTAATTCTACTAAAGATAAATATATATATTGCTTTCTCCGTGTCTGTGCTTTTTGTTGTTTTATATTTAAAGATAAATCTGTCTTATTCTCAAAAGCAAAATTTATCCATATAATTCTCATATATAAAGGTTTATTTTCTACAGAGTTGAATATCAAAGTACATGATTAATCACACATCCTCTTCAGCCTACAATTTGACCTCATTTCCAAATCTATATAACTTTTTATAATATTGAAATATTTGTGTTTACAGAATACTGAAACATAATGTTAAAAAGTAAAAGTAACAAGTGTTTTGTTTCAACTGGTGAAGCAAGCT